ATAAAACATTTCACTGATACAGCAGCAGTAAATCAACATAAAGTATTTGAAAAGAGTTGACAGCTATCAACAGTGCATCTGTTATCGTTTGCCGCCTACATAACAATCGACAAATCGCAGTTGCAGTATACAGCAATTGAAGAGATCTAAAGTATTACGTTAAAAATTATAAAAATTATTATTTTTAAGAAAAACTGATTATATGTAACGTCTGAGTATTCTGTCTTTTAAAAAAACTTTTACTTAAATTTTATTTCATGAAATTATCAAAAAAGAAATTGTGAAGACCAAATCCAGGTTGATGTTAGACTAACCGTATTATTTTTGCTTCTCACAGCGTTCAGCTCATTTTTGATTTTGTTACAGAACTGTGAATCAAGCCAGTCGCCTGACATTGAAATTTCAACTTTTATACCATTGAACCTCCTCCTTGAAAAAACTATTTAATCCGAGAAAAAGCAATAAAAAATCAGAATAATCACTAAAGCATTGAAAACCTTTCGAAAGAAAAAAGGTTATGCTATTTTTTGTCAAAAATTATTGTTAAATTTTCAAAATTATTTTTTGTGTAGCATTATAATCCGGAATAAGTTAAGGTGAATTGTCATTGAACTTTTCATTTCTTCTATTTTATTTCTTTTTTTTTTTTTTTTTTGCGAAAAAAGAAAGGGGAAAATTTGTAAAACAAAAAAAACTTGCCAAAACATCAACAAAAACCAACAACGACAACAACATCAACAAAACCACTTTGACTGATTAAACAGTAAACTTACTCTCTTTCGACGAGAATTTCTGCTTTATTTCCAGATTTCAGAAATTTTTTCAACTGAAAAAAAAAAAAAAAAAAAAACAACTAACAAATTCCAAGTTTTTATGAATTATTATTGTTTTTTTTTCAGCAATTAAAAAAACTTTTAGTTTGAAACAAATAAACGAGAGCGACTTATTATAAAATTTAATATTATGAAAATGTATTTAGCGTTCTTCTCTTTCAAATCAGCTATTGCCAAAGAAAAAAAAACCTTTTTTTCAACTAATTGTTTCATGTTGTTATAAGTGTCATCATCGGTATATAGTGGATAAAACCCGATATAGAATACTAGCGAATGTTCACAGTCTAACGACTGACGCTTATGTCTTGCTGTATCATTTTTATTATCACCTAAACGTTATTTCACTACAGTCAAAGATTTTATCGAATTCAAAATATAAACTGTTTTTAACTGTTTAGCAGCCAAAAAAAAAAACCCCAGTATTTTCTTCTTGTTTTTCAAAAAATAAATCAATAAATAATTAAATAAATTTAGAAGAAAAATGAAAAAGTTTAATATCACTTATTTCTTTTTTGTTTTCTCTTGTGATAACTTCAATTGTCATTATTTTTTTGTTGAAAAATGTTACAAATCAGTAGAATCAGCTTCTGTAAGGTTTACTCTTTTGATACAATCATTTATCTGCCAAATGAGTAGTTAAAGCATCAGTTTTACAAATGCTAATATCTATATAACACCGGTTCAACATACTAAACATTTCAAATAAGCATTTCTCATAATTTTGTACAACAATTTTTTTCCTTCGTGCTTTTTTGGTCATCTAAGATTGTGCAGCATTTTCAATGACTAGAAGAAAGAATAGGTCTAAAAACTTAAGCAAGCATTTCTTTTTTTATTTTCTGCTTTTTTTTTGCAGCAAATCTATAAAAAATAACCATATCTATACACTTTTTAATGACCTACCTGGTTGTACAGCATTTTGATGTGACGTTGGTGGCGGACAACACTGAAACAACAAAATTAGACTTCAAATTAATATTCTACAGTAAAGCTTTTCTTTTATTTTTTTTTTTACTCGACTTTTTTAACAGTAACTATCAGCTGGTTTCAGAATGTTGCTACACAAATTTGAGAAGACTTTGAGTTACCTTTTTCACTAACTTATCAGAGTCAAATATCATCTGTTTGATAATACAATATTTAAATATTGTTGAAATATTGTTGCAAAAAAAATTAACCAACTAATTAATTAATTAAAGAATAAAATAACAAAAAAAATTTAGCATTTTAACTGCTTTGTCAGTTTTCAAAAATCAGAAACCAGTAATTCAGCTGCTTATTCCTGATTTTTTCTGCTGCTAATGCTGCTTCTGTTTTTTTTTTTTAATCTATTTATACTGATGTATTCCAAAAATAAATAAATAAATAAATAAATAAAAGGTTCAACAACCTAAAACTTGGTTGAGAATAAACTATAAAAGAAAAAGAAAACTTACCAAAACTGCGATAGCTCCAGAAAATAGCAAAATTATGGTCGAATGTTGCATAATGTCTGCAAAAAAAAAGCAATCTGTTTTATGCAAAAACCTGTTAAACAGTGATTATAAACTAATTTTAGTGATAATCAGAATTGTTTGATAAGCAGTTCTCAGAGTGAACGACTGAAATATAAAAGACGAAAAAAAAAAAGAACCAAAAGTTGTAATAAGATCTTGAATCAAAGTTTCGTTTTTCAATTCTAGTCTTACGAAGCAACAACAGCGCATTAGTTGCTGGTCGTCAAGAATCTACAGTTTAATACAGTTTTATACGACAGCCTTAATCTAAAAACCTATCTGAACCGTTTGATAGTTCTGCACAAAATTTTTTTTTGAACTAATAGAACTGTTCTTTAAAAAAAAGGCAAATAATCAGATTAAAAAGTTTTCTTAAAAATTTCTCAAAAAAAGTTCGTGAAGAAAATTGCTGTTAGTAGTTGTAAAATTGTTGAAACATTGAGTATACAGCTCTTGGTCAAACCTTTTATATCTCTCGACTTATTGTACATAGCCAAAAATTTGTAATTTTTCTTCTTTTTAATGTTTTTTTTTCAAAATTTCTGTCTCATATTAGTCATTTCCTCCTTTCTTCAACTGATTTTGACGACTGTGTAGTTAGCGTCAAAAGAAAAGTAAACGTTACATGTTTCGATAGATTAGTTATTCTAATAATTTATTTTTCAATCTTAACATTGTAACGATTTTTCTTAATTTAACTTTCATACTTTGAAACTTTTAAAGAATAAAATTTTTGTAACTATGCTCTGTTTACCTTTACAGTCTCAAAAATACAATCTCAAAAAAAAAAGAATGTTTAGTACGAAGCAATAAGAAAAAAAGTTGTTATTCAATAAGAATGACTGTTAGTAACAAAAATTTTAGAAAAAAATTGTTAATGTAATCGAAGATTTGATGCAATTGTTATTATTGTTAAAAAATATTAGAATTTCAACACTTTTTACTATGCACTAGGCTTTACTAGACATTTTTGCCAACACATCAAACAGTTGCAGAAACCTTAACAGTAAATCGGATTTTCTTTCGCAAACTTTTGACCTACACTTTACGTTGTTGATTCACTTAAGTTCTAACGGTTAAGCTTTGATAAGGACGATTGTTCTGCGTAATCAGTCAACACAGATTTCAAAAGCTTTTGAAATAGACAAATCTAACTACGAGTTTTGTCCTGATTGTACTTGTAGCTGCTTATACCTTTTCCTGCTTTGTAAATTATTACTGTACAATTTGACAATACTTGTAATATACTTGGCCTTTTGCAACTGTTAAGAGATTATTTTTGTACAAAAATTCACACATTCTGCATTGAAAGCTTTGAAAACCAGACTAGCTTTTAAAACTGCATTTAAAAATTACTAATCTATTTTATAAGTTTTTTTTTTAGTTCTCCGCAACGAGATTCATTCAGCAATTCAAAGACTTTGAAACAAGGTATTTTATTTCTGCTATGGTATTATTAAAATAATCAACATCTGTGTAACTGATTATTATTATTATTATTATTATTATTATTATTATTATTATGCTGTAAATTTATCAGTAAATGTTATAAAAAAGAAACACTTCAGTCAGTAATATAACTGTTTAAAGACAACTAGTTGACTGATTTTCTACTATTTCCTTTTCTGCTTATAATCAACTTCTCCAAATAGTCTTACAGATAATTTAAACTAATAGTTGCTTGGAATAAAATATTTGCAAAGCTTACTTTACACTGCCAAAAATTTACCACTAAATCTGTATATTCTTGAGTCATTTGCTTTCAAATGTACTTTCAGTAATGAAAGTCAATTTATACAACTACTATACAGTGAATTTATAACTCAGCTCTTTTTAAAGAATCTCTTTAGATGTGCTGTATTGAATCGTCATCCAAAAATTGTTTCAAAAACAACGTTTACCCATTTTTCAAAAACCCAAAAACCACACCACTGTTAACCGGTAAAAAGCAGGTTGTCAAGCTTTTTACATCATATGATCTTGCGAATTACAATTAAAAAAAGCTGTAACTCACAGTTTCAAATGAAACTAGTTCTTTGCAGACCATTCCTTCTGCTATTCTTTCCCAATGTGCTGCACTAATAAGCCAGCTCTCTCTTTGTTGAAAAAATTTCTATTTACACCATGCTAGTAGCTACCAACTAACTGTCGTTCTTGAATATTTTTATTATGAATAACAAAAAATTGACATAAGCAACATGAAACAACACTTGACCGCAGTAAAAAAAATCAAAGTATTTTAAAAAATCTGCAAAACCAAAAATTCACAAATAAATGCCAAATAAAACCTCCTTTGCAAGAAATGGTCTTAATCTGTTTTCAAGATGTCAAAATTCAAACCTTCACTATTCACCAGTTGGACAACTACAAGAACTGAGAGATGTGACATAACTTACTGATACAATACTTTCAGCTAAAAACCTTTTAAAAATCTGATAAGAACAGATAATAAATGACAAACATAATCAACAAATATGTGCCTACAGCTGACAGGTATTTAAAGAAATATAAATGACAAATAACAAAAAAATATTTAATTTAATTTACTCAGCACAAATACAGTCTTGTTTTTCGAAGAGCATATTTTTTTTTTTTACTCTTTCTCCTTCGGCCCTTCTTCCCCCCATGCCTCTCCTTAACTTTACAACACTGGAAAAGCTTATTTAACGTCAAGCAAATTACATCTTTTCTTCATCGGAAACATTCGCCGTGGTGTCGACTCAACTTCTTTGGGAATTCCGCGGCGTGTCCTTGTCGGCCGGTTATAACCTGCAGTCTTCGAAATTGATTCGCATCTTTTGCAATCAAGCATTGAGCTATTGGAAAAACTCTCTGCAGCTCTGGCAGAACGAATACGTTCAATATGTTTCACCATAGAAAGGTTGTGTCGAAGAACTGAACTGCCTTCTGGCTTCGCCCTTTTATTGGAAGAATAAGTAAGACCATCGCTCTCATAAGTTCGTTCACGATGATAATCCTGTTGACTGTTATCTTTAGCATGACTTCGCCTAGTGGGGATTTTTTTCTTTGGCACAACAGGAGAAACGAAAGCTTTGTCTAGAAAAATAGCCATTACTCTCCTAGAGCCACAATTTCAATAAAAGTTATAAGCCTCTTCCATAGAACTTACCTTTCCCATTAAAACTAAGTAGTGAACTATTCTGGTACTTGTTATTTTTAGAAGCAGCATAACTTAACATCTTTGACTCAAATGTCTCGATATCCTCAGTCATCGCACTGCTAAAGCTGCCTAAATGTCAAAAGCAATACAAATGAATCCTAATAAGCAGATCATATAACTGGCAAATAATCAACATTTTCAATAGTTACATTCAGCATTCTCACTCTGAGATAACAGGCATGGTTTAGTTCAGCTGTAAGTCTTAGTTTAGCTTCAAAGCATGGAACATAGTAAACTAACTGGATCGTAAAGCTTGATTTTTGAAGCTTTCATTGAAGAAACAAGAAGTGCTAGGCGAAATTTGACGTCGGCATTCAGTTGTCGTCTTAGTCTTAGATATCTCATCAATCTTTTGCGATTTAGAAGGCTCAAAAAACTCAATTGGAGTTTTTTTCTGAGCTAAAAAACAAAAATTTTTTAGGAGCAATACTGTCAGTCGCTAGCTGCAACTTTAACTGCAATTCAAAATATTAATTTTAGCAACTGTTTATATAATTGAAAGATTTTTTGTTTCACCAAGATGACACCATAATAATAAGTGGATAACCTTTCATAAACTGTCTAGGAGGAGTATATATATTTGGAAATACTTCTGGATAAACGATAGAAAGAAACAGTAACTGTAGCCCATACGGGATTAACCGTATCAGTAAGTCAAAATACTCTCGTTGTACTCCAAAATGCCACATCATAAGAAACTGATTTCTGCAAATAGTTATTATTAAATTTCGAAATAGTTATTAAAAAAGGTGCTTTATATCAACTTCAACAATATGCTGAAAAAAATACCACAAAAATGTTCAAATACTATATTCAATTGAAGTGAAGTGTCAGTAAAACGGGTTCTTACAGTTTCTCTTCACCAGCAGCAGAGCAGTAATCAGTACTTTTATAGACTATAGCTCTCATCTACAAACTGCTCTGCTAATCAATCACCATGTTTTTACCTGGTCATAAAAATATATATGTAAAAATCAAAAAATATCACAATTTTTGTTTACTAAAGCAATCTAATATCATATCTTCAAAGAAGATTGATTACTGAATACATCATTAGCTTCTGCCTATCACATGTTTCTGCCTGACCTGTCTATGATCAAACAGAAGAAGTTTGCGAAGCGACCAACAAGTCCATTAGAATCAAACAAATCATTTGAAAAAACAAAAACTGATTGTTTTAAAAACGAGAAGACAAAAAAAAA